TTTATCATATAATTATCCATAAAATACCTATATTTCTCCTTTTCGAAAAACTGATATTTTCACATGTTATTTTCACATGTGAAAATATCGTTACCATGTGTGTTTAAGCTATTAGTTAATAAATAAAAACTTTTTATAATAATAAAAAGCTTGGTTAAGTTGATTTTATGGATAATCATATAATAAACAGAATATTACATGGGCGCTTGGAGATACGAAATTTATCTTCTCGTGTTGAAAATCTCGCTACGCTCACTCGTGAGAGATCTTTTCAACACTCGAAGATAAATTTCGTATCTCCGCGTGCCCATGTAATATCCTTTATTTATGTTGCAGAAATCTTAGATAATGTTTCGTTCTCTTAAAAATGAACATTAATTTCAAAACTGAATTGCAAAGTTTAGAAATGTAATGGCATCGCTTTTGGTTCTCTATGACATATAACATATCATTTAAGTAATTTTTTGTGATTGACAGCTCAAGCACTTCAGTGCTATCAATGCGACAGTAACACAGCATTGGTCAATTGTACCAAGGTCCAGAAAGTGGTGACTTGTGACAGCAATGTTCATGAATGCTGTACTATTGCTGAAGCAGGCACAGTGAGTATATACTATGTCCTTTCTTGTATTTGGTGGGTGGGTGGGTGGGTGGGTGGATGGATGGATTGGAATTGGAATTGGAAAGATGGATATATACTGCTGGTTTTATGGATATATACTGCGGTCATGTTGGATGATATAACAAAAGAGACTAATGAAGAATCTTTTGTTTGATTCATCCAACATGGCGGCTATGAAAACCATCAATTGATTTTTTTGAAAACTTAGAGGCATAAAAAACTCTTATTTCTATTTTTTAGTTCAGCTTTGGCTTTAAGTACAAATACTTTGGAAAAGGCTGTAAAGGAAGAAATCACAAGATACCTGATAAAGTCTTTTTATACAGCTTTAGCACACAATGTTGTGGGCAATCACTTTGTAACACTAGTCAAATCAGCCAAGCAAGCTTTGTTCTCGTTTTCTGCCTGATTCTGGTCTCAAAGATGATTGTAATCTAGTTCTAAATRTCCATGCTTTTGAAAGATCAATGGATGGATCGGTAGTAGTAATATGAAAGGCAAATTATTATTATTATTATTTGAAATACTTTGATTTTAAAAATTAGGTATATTTTTCTACTTGTTATTGATCAGGTGAACAAACCTACACGACAGGTTAACACTGCTCATCGTGTGTTATCAACCAGAGAGTATTATGTTGCTTGGTATCAATTAGCTGAATGAAACTCATTACCAGCCTACAATGACAGGCAAACACTGCCCGTCATGTGCTATCAACCAAAGAGTATTCTATTGCTATGTATCAATCAGCTGAATGAATTTCATGAATCTCATTACCAGCCTACAATTACAAGCAAACACTGCCCTTCATGTGCTATCAACCAGAGAGTATTCTATTGCTTGGTACCAAATAAGCTGAATGAATCTCATGAATCTCGTTACCAGCCTACAATGACAGGCAAACACTGCCCGTCATTTAAATTTAAGTATTCTATTGCTTAGTATCAATTGACTTAATAGAGCAATCATGGGAAATAAATTTAATTTTTCTATTAACAAATTATATATTATTTACATGGCCTATACTTTTTTGTGGATTGAAATAAATAAAAATCTTTCAATTAAATGGTTATCGTCCCATTCATACTCCCTTTGTCCAAGCAGTATGGGTGATCGGCGGATGATTTTCAAATGACCTCTAAAAGGTACACAAAAAATTAAAAGAGCTGATAAATCCATGTTGATTTCATCCCCTAAAAAAACTACTTTATATCAGTAATTTCTTCTCTTCATGCTGTGTCTTCTGAAAATAAATAATAAATGATCCTAAAAGATACAGTAAGTGACTTTTCAGCCATAATAAATGATCCTAAAAGATTCACACAGGAAATATTTTCAACCCTAAAAGGAGCACCGATCACCGCTACCAGTTGGACAAGGGAGTACCTCCCCCCACCCCCCCTCCCCATACACACACACACACACTTTCCCAGGAGCTATTTCAGTGAATATGATTTTTTACAATAACTTACAAATTTCTCGTGCGCTGATTAGATTTTTTATCATCAATAAGAGGACAGATACACAAAAAACTGATGTCTATTTGTTAAGTGGAGTGAGAAAGACCTATCTATACTCTAGAGATAACTTCTGACTACTAAACCTGAGAGGGAGAACGAAACATCTAGTAATGGCAGAAGAACAAACTCATCTGTCTGTTAAGCCCATCACAGAATTCATATAGGAACCAAAGATGTGAGGATCTCCAGGGGGAAAGGGCACAAGACTGCTAAGATCCTGGTCCTCTAAAACTTCTTGTAAAGAACTGAAAGATAGAGAAAAAAAGAAGT